TCAAAGAAGATAGACAAACCCTTTAGGGGGAGCTCAAAGGGAGCCCAAAGGGAGCCCAAAGGGAGCCCAAAGGTATGACATCAAGTCAAAAAGGGAAGGGCTCTAAGAGTTTGGTGGTCCCCTTTGGTGGTCTCCTTTGGTTCATCCCCTAAAGGGGAACCCCTTTAGTTCTTCCCCTAAAGGGGAACTTTAGGGGATGAACTAAAGGGAATGGAAACCGAGGGGGTTCCCCTTTGGTATCCCCGAAGGGGAACATCCCCTAAAGTTCCCCTTTAGGGGAAGAACTAAAGGGGACGATAACCAAAGGGGATGACAAGGGGACAAGGGGGTTCCCCTTTAGTTCCCCTTTAGTTCTTCCCCTAAAGGGGAACTTTAGTTCCCCTTTAGTTCATCCCCGAAGGGGAACCCCTTCTTCCCCTTTAGGGGACTCCGTCCCCTTTAGGGGAAGAAGGGTAACACCCCTTCGTCTCCCCTTTGGGGAACACTAAAGGGGAAGAAGAAGAAGAAGACGAAGGACGCGCTTGGTGTCCGCGTGTTTTGCTACTCGGAAACATATCCTCTGAAAGACAATGGAAACTGGTAGAAACCGCGTGCTGCAAACTTGTTAAAACACGGTAACGGCAAACGGGTTGTGTTGTGGCTTAGGAGGGGCTAAGCGCCTACAGAAGGCTCACGACGCAGCGCCCGATTTGACAGACGTAACATAGTAGGTTCCAAGGATGTTCCTTGCGTTAACAAGATATAACGGGATTAGCAAGTTATATCCTGTCATAGTGTGAATAGTGAAGAGTTAGTGTTTTCTCCCTTTCTGATAGTTTTGACTTTATAGCAGACAAATTGTTGAAAAAAGCTAAGTAAGCACATNTTAGGAGGTATTTTTTTATGCCTGGTAAACCGGTAGAACGTCCTTTCTCAGATATTTTAACAAGTATCCGATACTGGGTTATTCACAGTATTACAGTTCCTGCTTTATTTATTGCAGGTTGGCTTTTTGTAAGTACTGGTCTTGCATATGACGTGTTTGGGACTCCGCGTCCAAATGAATATTTTACAGAAGATCGTCAAGAAGCTCCGTTAATCACTGACCGCTTTAACGCATTAGAACAAGTTAAAAAATTAGCTGGTTAATTTCTTATTTACAAGAAAATAGCTTTGTAATTCGTGTTTATATTTATCAGTATGTGCTTTTTACACTGAGAGCATTTTTTCTTATTATTATCCGGCTTATAGCCGGTTAGTTTAACAAACAAAATTTATTTTGTAGTTAAATTACAACGAGCCAAGGCCGCGTTAGCTAAACGTATGTTAAAACCATTATATAGGCAACGACTCTAAACAATGTAAGGCGGGGGGGGGGAGGAGTCTACGACGCCCCGAGCCACTCTTTAGGATAGCTTCCTTTCGGGATTAGCGGAAACAATAACCGCAAGCCAAGCGTCAGCATAAAAATTAAGATTTATTGGACTATGATGACGCGTACCCTTGAATAAACTTTGTTTAGTAGGCTTACAAAGTATCTACAGCATGCCTGTGGCATGCCCATGCAGTACACGCCTTACTAAGTTTAACGAACTTCTTTCCCCGAAGGGGATGCCAACGGCTTACGTTTAAACAACGAAGTTCTTGTGGCTTATTGTTCGCACAGAGGTAAAGAAGGGACGATCACCGAAGGGGAGAACCAAAGGGTTCAAGAAGGGGAAGCATCCCCTTTGGGGGACTATAACCAAAGGGGATAACCGAAGGGGGGGGGACGAAGGGTTCCCCTTTAGGGGAAGCGCTTGCATTGACTTAATTGTATATCAACTACAATGTTCAATGAATTACGACGTACCTCCAGCATGCCGATGCAGTGCACAGTGCTTTTTGGACACAATCGTTCGGGCTAGGGCCCTCACAACATATCTTCTGTGCTTTAGTAGCAGCAAATTACGTTAGTTAAAGTTAGTCCCCCCCTTCAAAGAAGCAGCTAAAAACGGGCCACTAATTTAATCACTTACGTTAGTTGTCCCCTTCGGGGAAGACAACAAACATCCCATTTTGGGAAGTCGCCGCAGCGAAGTGAGTTTAACATTACCACCTTCTGGAATAATTTCATTAATTTTAATCCCTAAATCATTAAATAAACGTTTTAATTCTCTGCAATCATGTTGATGATGAAAACCTAATGTAAAAATCCCGATAATATTTACCGAAGGTTTTTCAGTTTTCATAATATTTAAATTATCTTGTTTTTTTGCTTTTTCAATATAAAAACGTACAATTTGTTCCAGCGTTCGATCAGCGGCTTGTAATTCATTTACTCGATAATGATTTACATCTGCTAAAATAACATCAGGTTGACCTTCTTTAATATTAGATGAAACGATATTTTTTTTCTAGTTGTTTTTTTAATATATTTTTTCCTTGTTCACCCGATGTCATTACAAAAAGAGGCATTTCTTTATGTGCAAATGTAGTGTCCAATTCAGTTTCTGTTTCCCATGATTTTTGTATTGTGCAGTTACTGTTTTTATCTAGTTTATTTGTAGGTTCTTTTAAATCGTTGAAATCCTTGGTATCAAAAAAAACATTAGCTTGTGGCGTGAGTGGTGCAGTTGGAGAGCAAAGCTCTCGTGACACTTGCGCTTCGCTGACTTCAGGCTTGTTTGTATTTTGAACTGTATTACTAGTTACAACATTTGTTGTAAAATTAGAGGGGTTTTCTTTATCCGTTAAAGTAGGTTTGGAATGGAACGTTGTTACGTTGTCATAACGTACGGCGTTACTTGTAACACGTGTGTTACGAGTAACGCCTTCAACAAAATATTGTAAATCTTCTTGTAAAATGCTTGACGTACAAGTAGGAGTTAATAAAATCAAATCTGGCGTTTCTTCTTTATTTTTTCGTGTAATATTAGCTCCCGTTAGGGCACCCTCCCATTTCTGGGAAGTTCTTGACATGTCAAACCCTGGTAAGGTTCTTCGCGTTGCATCGAATTAATCCACATAATCCACCTCTTGTGCGGGTCCCCGTCAATTCCTTTGAGTTTACTCTTGCGAGCATACTCCCCAGGCGGGAGACTTAACGCGTTAGCTACAGCACTGCTTGCGGCAGCACTTAGTCTCCATAGTTTACGGCTGGGACTACTAGGGTATCTAATCCTATTCGCTCCCCCAGCTTTCGTCTCTCAGTGTCAGTTTCGGCCCAGCAGAGCGCCTTCGCCTCTGGTGTTCTTCCAAATCTCTACGCATTTCACCGCTCCACTTGGAGTTCCCTCTGCCTCTACCGTACTCAAGCTCGTGAGTGCTCTAATGCCGATCCAAGGTTGAGCCCTGGTATTTGACATTAGACTTTACGAGCCACCTACAGACGCTTTACGCCCAATCATTCCGGAAGGTAAAAATACAGGTTTAGTCAATTCTTTAACAGCTTATGCACGTGTAAATTCTCAAGGTTATATTGAAACTCCTTTTTACCGAGTATACAAAGGTCAAGTACAAAAAAAAAGGTTTATTTTTTTTCCAGCAAAACAAGAAGAAAAAATAAAACTAGGAGCAGCTGATCTTTACACATCTGATATTGGTTTTTTACCTAAAGCTTCTATTCCAGTAAGAATTGTTGAAGATTTTACAAAAATTGCACGTAATGAAATACAATACGTTGGTGTTGCTCCAATTCAAATGATTTCAATTGCAACCTCATTAATACCTTTTTTTGAGCATGATGACGCAAACAGAGCTTTAATGGGTTCAAATATGCAACGTCAAGCAGTTCCGATATTAAAACCACAACGACCTATTGTTGGCACTGACTTCGGTTCATCCCCTTTAGGGGAACTAAAGAAGACGAAGAACACTAAAGGGGAAGAAGGGTGTGTTCTTCCCCTTTAGGGGAACCCCTTCTTCCCCTTTAGGGGAAGAAGGGGAGCACTTCTTCATCCCCTTTAGGGGAACTAAAGAAGACGGAGTCCCCTTTAGTTCCCCTAAAGGGGATGAAGAAGAAGAGACTTTGGTTCCCCTTCGAAAAAAACGAAGGGGAAGACTTTGGTTCATCCCCTTCGTCATCCCCTTCGGGGAACACCAAAGGGGAAGACGATGATGCCCTTCCCCTNTAGGGGATGCCGGATGACAAAAGGGAGCCAAGAAGACGAAGACCAAAGGGGACGCGGTCCCCCTAGGATATCACCGAAGAAGTTCCCCTTTAGGGGAAGACAAGTAAAGCGTCACCATACTTGTGGAATAAACGAGTCCGTTAAGTCACTTAAACTACAACAAGCTTAACGACAGAACCCCAAAATAAGGCCAACGGCTTACGTTCGTTTCCTCTTCGGAAAACTCGTTAAGTGAGAAGTGCGTCAACGACGGACCCCCGCAAGGCGTCTATTAAGTTATAACTTATTAACTACGTTAGGGCGGAGCCATGTGTTCCCTTTTTCACAAGGGGAATCAAGGGGCCTAACAGCCGGAGACTTCAACGAGCTTAACGAACACGTTCGTTAGGTTCCTCTTTGGGAAACAGTAGAATCTTAACTATATTTGTTTGTTGGACAAATGTAGTTAAGTTTGGCGATAACATAATTGTTACAATCTTCGCGGAAAACCAAAGGGGTTGTCCCTACTTGTTCTTTATTTTATGAAAACCGAAGGGGATGAAGGGCTCTTCATCCCCTAGGGTGTCAGTCCCCTTTAGTTCCCCTAAAGGGGAACTAAAGGGGACAACCCTTTTTGTTCATCCCCTAAAGGGTAACTAAAGGGGATTAACCCTTCGGGGTTAGACTAAGTTTGTTGTCTGTCCCCTTTAGTGTTCGTCCCCTAAAGGGGAACCGAAGGGGTTCTTCCCCTAAAGGGGAACTTTAGTTCATCTTCTTTAGGGGAACTAAAGGGGAAGAAGTCCCCCCCTAAAGGGGAAGAAGGGGTTCCCCTTTAGGGGAAGACTTTGGTTCTTCCCCTAAAGGGGAACTAAAGTTCCCCTTTAGGGGAAGAAGAAGAAGAAGAACAAGAAGGGGAAAACAAAGGGGATAACCAAAGGGGGGGGGAACCTTTGGGCTCCCCTTCTTGTTCCCCTTCGGTTCATCCCCTAAAGTTCCCCTTTAGGGGAAGAACTAAAGGGGATGAAAAACCAAAGGGGACGGATGGGTTACCCTTTAGGGGAAGAATAACAACGGTGTAGGACTACCTTAGGTGGTAGCTCAAAGCTTTGCCCGTAACTTAGTTGAGCTATGTTATCCTTCGGGAAACATCTACTATATAGTTCATATATATATAAACTATATATATATATATATATATATATATATACCCGTAAGCAGCACCCACCATCGCCGCCTCGAGCTCCCGCGCCGCCTTTTCCTGAGCCGCCATGAGCTCTCGGGCCAGAGCCGCCAACTGGGGGCCGGTGGTGGGCAGCTCATCAGCGACCACGTCGCCACCACCACCGCCACCGCTGGGACCAGGGCCGGCACTGGCTTCCCCCGACACCAGGTAGGTGGCGGCGGGGGGCCCGTGGAGACCCGTGTGGAGCTGAACCCTGACAGCGGGTGCGGGTGAGGGTGCGGGGATGCGAGGATTAGGGCGTGTCAAAAAGGGGGGGTTGAGGGGTAAGGGGGCTGTTCGGGTTAAGGGGCTGTTATCAATTGCGCACACGGTACGGACCCCGACAGGCACCCAGCTGACCTTTCCTTAATCACACACACACACACACACACACATACACACATACACAACGCACTCACTTAAAAGAAAGAAAGAAAACTAAGTCCCCAAATAACCAGTAAGTATGTACGTATGTTGTGTATGTATACAGGGGCTGAGCCTCTTTGTATGCCGACAGTCCCTTTTTGCGGCCCTTGTTGCTCCTAACATCATCATCATCATCTTCTCTTCTTCAACACCATCATCTTCATCAGCGTATGATTTCCCCCCCATTGCCACGTCACCACTCCCTCTCTCTCTCTCTTCTCTCTCTCTCTCTCTCTCACACACACACACACACACACGCGCGCACGTCGCCCCCCTCCCCTCCTCCCCTTTGTCGAGACCGGCCCTCTCCCGAGCCCTCTGCTTACTCGCGCATGGGCGGCCCCAGCCCCAGCCCGGGCACCAGTCGGCCGGTGACCGCCGCCCCCCCCGCCACCGCCACCGCTGCCTCCTCCTCCTCCTCCCCCCCCTGCTGGCTCCAGCGCACCGATACGCGGCCAGACTGCTGCCGGGGCCCTCGCAGCCTCGTGGCCAGCTGCACTCCCTTCTGGGGGTTAGCGGTGAGGGCTCGTACCTAGGAGGTGAACAGGAGGGAGGGAGAGAGGGGAGATGAGGCGAGGAGCGGGGAAATCATACAAATGCAAAAAGCAAAGAAGTCAATCGCCAACGTCATAAAGTACCAACATCGCTGGAAAGGGAGAGGGGGAGTTTTAAAACAGGGTGCAGAAGAAATGAAACAAAGAAACAACTGCCGAGGAAGCAAAGGGAGGGGGATGATGATAAAAGGGCTGGGCTGGGGTGGGGTGGGTTGTGGTGGGGGAGGGGGATGAAAAACAGGTCGGTCGGTCTGTCGGTCGGCCGGGTCACAGTTTGTGTGTAAGGGGCAGTTCGCCCAGGCCAGGTGACACACACACACACGCGCGCGCGCACATGCGTGTGTCCGATTTCGCTTTTGTGGAGGTCACATACACCCCGTCCGGATTACGCTTAACCGACTCGTTTGCCTGTTCCCTCCATCCGACCCCTCGCCCCCCTCCCCCCCCTCCCCCCCCCCGCCCTCCTCAGCCACACGTTCCCATTTGGAGCAACTGTACGACTGTACGGCTGAGACAGTATTACATTGATGCCGGA